CACAGGAGCAGGGGGAATAGAGAGAGCGCCATTCGGTAAACCCCAACTTCCTGCAAGGTGAGTGATTGCACAGAGCCCCTGGTTCAGAGACTGGGGCATTACCCTCTCTGCAGCTCCTGTCTCTCTCTAAATTGCTGCATTCCTTGAGTCAGGAGCTGATTCCTGATCTTGGTCTTTATTCTAAAAATTCTGTCTGGCTTTCAGATTTCCTGTAAGTGGGAGCGGGCTGTTGTGAGCCCAGGGCTTACTGCATCGGGTGGTGGGTCTCTGTGGTCCCCACGGGGTGGGGGGTGGTTTCTCTCTCTCTGCTCTACCCCTTCAGTGTCTCTCCAGCTGCTTTGTCTTGTGTCTGTCTCAATGTGGCCAGCGCAGCCCCGTCCCTTCCTCTTACTGACAGGGTTCCCCCCCTCCCTTGGGGGGCTGGGGAGATTCACAGCTGGTTGTTTAGTGGGGTGTGAGGATCAGACTGGGGTGGGGCAGGTTCTGCCTCCGGCTGTGAGTGAGAAGACTCAGGCCAACACCGCTCCCTTTCTCTGTCTGTCTGCCTTCCCTGAGGCTTAACTTTATCTCTTATAAAGTTCAAATCTTTGGGAATTATATTTTTACTGGAACAGAATGACCTTTTGAAAAGTAACCGTCCCAATAAGGTAGGGAAATAGAGCTGCTGTGGAGTTCCTATGTGTTGTAGTTTGCTGTGAATGAGGCTGTTTTAACCCAAGGTCAGATCAATAATAGCAGATTTCTCTTGTTCCTGTAGAAATCCGATAGCAAACCCCACCTCCACCTGTTAAAGCTGTAGAAATCCCAGTCCCATCTCCCTGAAAACCGTAAAGGTTTATAATCCCAGTGAAAGGGCTGGACGTCAGATGCATTTCTTCCTTTTTTTTGTGACCTCCCAGCACAGTTTCTCTTTGTGTGAGCAACAATAAACAAGGGAACGTGCAAGAGTTACACATTGAGGTGTCATGGGGAGTATAATGTTACTTGATGTTAAAACTGATCCTGTAACTTTTTTCCCAGTCTTCACGCTGTGAATGGCGGTTAGATTAATGAAACTCAGCGTCTGTAGCAAACATTGCCAGAAGTTGAAGTGCATTTATATAGTACCTTCGCGAACAATGGGCACTTTTCAGAAATGTTTACTCACTGCCGATCTGTTTGCACATAGCAAGATTTCACAATGAATTAACATTGTGTGCTTTTAATGATGGCAAGTAAAATTTTGGCCAGGACAGCAGAAGAATTCCCTTGATCTTTGAAGAGGGTCCTCAGATGTTTTATATTCAGTCAAGAGGCAACAGAACGTCTGGAATTGAATGTTTCCTTAGAGAGGAACAAAAACAAAGTTGCTGGAAAAGCTCAGCAGGTCTGGCAGCATCTGTGGAGGAGAAAACAGAGTTAACGTTTCGGTTCCGGCGACCCTTCCTCAGAAGGGTCTTCTTAGAGAGGGCTGACCTGAGTTTCAACCTCCTCCTGGGGCAGTGAGGTTGCACTCACTGATTAAAACTAAGGAGTATCCCTCAGTTTGTTATGGGTAGGGTGCATGGAATGCTGTCTTATGGATAGGGACGTGTGTGGAAGTGAGTCCATTTCACCTGCTAGTTTAAAATTAGTAAGGGAACGATGCCGTGAGTTTTAATTGAGGATCTGGGAGAAATCCGGTTCCAACTTCAGGATGGACAGTAAATGACAATCTTGCAGGTGTTGCCTGGACTTTGTGAATAAAGAGGAGGTGATTTTTGTTTAGCTGTCATCGCTGAAATGGCACCGAGTTGGTGAAAACTGATCTTTGGCTGTAATTTCAGACAGCAGTGGCCAATTATACAGTACAGAAGAGGCCCTTCAGCCCATCGAGATTGTACTGCCAATGCTGCATTAAATCTCCCCTAGTCCCACTGAACCCATAGCCTTGTACGTTATGGCATTTCAAGTACTCATCCAAATACTCTTTGAAGGCTTCCTGTCTCAAGCACTCTCCCAGGCAGTGCATTCCAGACCCTGCCACCTCTGGGTGAAAAAAATAATTTCTCAAAGCTTCTGTAAACCTACTTTTCACTTTGAGATTACGCCCCCTTGTTACTGACACTTTGCCTAAAGGGAACAGCTGCTTTCCGTCCACCCTGTCCATGTCCCTCAAAATCTCATACACCTCTCTCTGTTCCCAGTAAATGGTAAACTTCCCCTTTCAACCTTGTGCCCATCTCATTGAGATGAAGTGTTACATTAAGAAACTAACTAGTAGTTTTAGATCCGTGCTAATAATTACATAATTAATGTGAATCTCTGATCCGAGAGAAATGAGTCACTCAGTAGCGTTTGATCTTCAAATTAAACGGTCCTGGGTTCAAGTACTATCCACACAGACTGATACTCCAGGGCGGTGCTGAGGGAGGGCCGTAATGTCGGAGGGTCAGTGCTGAGGGAGCTCCCATCCTGATCAACAAACATCCGTCACTGACCATCTCGCAGGGATGGACCTGGTCATTGTATTTGGCTACTATCTCTGAAAAATTGCTGTGTGCTAATTGGCTGCAACATTTCCTACAAAGTACCATGACTACACTTTGAAAGTGTGTTACTTGTTTTCAAATGTTTTGGAATGCCCTGTTGTCACTAAAGAAGCAACATAAATGAGAATTGGATACAAGTGAAAGACTGTGGATGATGGAAATCTGAAACAAACACACACAATGCTGGAGGAACTCACCAGATTTAGCACTCTCTGTGGACAGAGAAACAGTTAATGTTTCAAAAACAATATGATGTTTTATTTTGTTACTTTTGAACCTGTTTAAAGACCTTTGTTGACTGTTGCCTTCATCTAGGTTGTCCCTTCAATGAGTTTATGATTTTCTTACTGGTTTAGAGAAACAATTCCATTTGGACCAGGTACAATCCAGCAGAGAAACATAAATAGGACCGGGAATAGACCCTTCAGCCCATTGAGCCCGCTCACTCATTCATTCCAATTATCACTCATCTGATCTGATGGCACGAGTTAAGCTGGCCAGCTCCAAGATTCCTCTGCTATTAAACGAACCTCTTCAGTCCTCTTTGCTTGGCGTATTAAATCAGCTTCAAATCCCCTTGTCCAACCATCTTCCAGTTAGAAGTGGGGATGTTCACTGATGATTGCACAAACATGTTTACAATTTGTTGGATACCGGAGTTCATGTTGGATACCTGGATACCATGTTCAAATGCACCAAAATCAGGACAGTATCCAGGTTTGGGCTGACAAATGGCAAGTAATATTTCACATCACACACATGCCAGGCAATGACCATCTCTGTCAAGAGACAATCAAACAGCACCTTTGACATTCACTGGTGTTGCCATCACTGAGTCCCCCACCATTAATGCCCTTGGGGTTACCTTTGACCAGAAACTCAACTGGACTTGTCATATAAGTACAGTTTCTATAAGATCAGGTCAGAGGCTGGGAATCCTGCATTGAGTAAATCATCTCCTGACTCCTGAAAGCCTGTCCACCATCTACAAGGCACAAGTCAGGAGTGTGATGGAATACTCCCCACTTGCCTGGATGAGTGCAGCCCCAACCATACTCAAGAAGCTTGACACCATCCAGGACAAAGCAGCCGCTTGATTGGCACCACATCCATAAACATCTGCTCCCTCCACCACTGACGCTCAGTAGCAGCAGTGTGTACTATCTACAAGATGCACTGCAGAAATTCACCAAAGATCCTCAGGCAGCACTTTCCAAACCCATAACCACTTGCATCTAGAAGGACAAGGGCAGCAGATAGATGGGAACACCACCCCCTGCAAGTTCCCCTCCAAGCCACTCACCATCCTGACTCTGAAATTTATCACCGTTCCTTCACTGTCGTTGGGTCAGGATGCCAGAATTCCCTCCATAAGGGCATTGTGGGTCTACCTACAGCAGGTGGACTGCAGTGATTCAAGAAGGCAGCTCAGTACCACCTTCTCAAGGGTGACTAGAGATGGGAAATAAATGCTAGCCCAGCCAATGACACCCCCGTTCCATAAGACCATAAGAAACAGGGACAACAGTAAACAGTTTGGCCCCTCCAGCTTGCTCTGCCTTTCAAAATGATCATAGCTGATCCAACATTCCTCACATCCGCTTTCCTGCCCTTTCCCCATATCACTTGGTTCCTGACTGATCAAGAATCTATCTGTCATGTCTTAAATATACACAAGGACTCTGTCCCCACAGCTTTCTGTGGCAAGGAGTTCCAAAGACACTCAACCTGCAGAGAAGAAATTCCTCTTTATCTTAGTCTTAAATTGGCCTCTATTTATTCTGATACTGTGCCGTTTGGTACTAGACTCTCCCATGAGGGGAAACATCCTCTCAGCATTTACTCGAAAAAGCCCTTAAGAACCTGGTGTGTTTCAATGAGATCACCTCTCATTCTTCTAAATTCCAGTGAGTAGAGTCTCAACCTGTTTAATAGTGACTTGGAGACAGTAAGGACCACAGATGCTGGAAGCCAGAGTCAATAAATGTGGAGCTGGAAAAGCACAGCCGGTCAGACAGCATCTGAGGTGCAGGAAAGTCAACGTTTCAGGCCAAAACCTAACAAAGGGTTTCAGCCCGAAATGTTGACTTTCCTGCTCCTTGGATGCTGTCTGACCTTCTGTGCTTTTCCAGTATCACATCTATCAACGCAATCTGTTTAACGTTTGCTCAGAAGACAATCCCTCTCTAACAGGGATCATCTGAGTGAAGCTTCTCTGAATGTCCTCCAGTGAAACAATCCCTTTCCTTAAATAAGGGGAGCAAGACTGTTCACAGTACTCCAGACGTGGTCTCACCAGCACCTTGTACAGTTACAGTAACACTTCCCTACTCTTGTACTCCAAACCCCTTGAAATAAGGGGCCAACATTCCATGAGCCTTCCTGATTACCTGCTGTCCCTGTGTACTAGTTCCCCCAAGTCCCTTTGTGTTGTCGCTTTCTGCAGTTTTTCTTGCCATTTAAGTAATACTCTGTTCTTTTGTTCTCCTTCCAAATGTTCTCCTTCCTTAAAGTGCCCTGCTTTACAGGACTTTAAAAGGGGCACTG